CCGGGTACTCCGGTTTCCTCCTGCCTCTAAAACTGGACCTTCTTCTGAACTCCGTAATGTGATGCTGTTTAATAAAGTGTATGAATAAACGTACAGTTATTGGTGCAAATAGCCTAAGTTGCTGAAGCGCCATTAAAACAACAACAAACAACAACATTAAATGCCTTCCAGTGCAGTAATGTCTTATGCCTCAAGAGGGATGTTTGTGGGTACACCAGTGTCTCGTCATTTTTTGGCGCATTAGAAGTTGTATCTTCTTAGCATTTGAATCTGTCATCAATTTTGCTTACTGGGAAAAAAGACTTTACGTGGTAGTCGGTAAGGCAGTTCTTTTGTTTCAAAGGGAAACCTCCTTTGTGGAGCACAAGCATAGGCCGGCAAGATGGCAGCAAAACCCTCTAAAGGCCCCCCTCCCCTTGTTTCTCCACCGTTTCTTTCTTACGGACTACAAGAATATGGGCGATTCACAACAGTGCGCCTCCAAGAGTGTGCAACGCGTTAACCAATGACAATGCGCGACAGATTATTAGGTCGACAGATTTCGCGCACTGTGATTGGTCAACGCGTTGCAAACTCTTAGAGGCGCACTATTGTGAAACGCCCGTAATAGAAATTGACGAATAACAACTTTGATGGCAAATTAAAGGTGTGTTTCAGTTTCAGGGTACAACGAAAAAGAGAAATGAACGAATCTGCTTAATTAATCTAGCTGCTTTGACGTTTGTTCTTTTTCATTTGGCAGCATTGTAAGAAGAATGGGTATTCGTAGGCGGAAACATGTTGTCATCATCGGTATCTTGTCGCTTCTAGGGCTGATGGTATGCAGCTTCACTTCAAGCAACCTTATGATTGTCATTAAGTCTGGAGAATGCGTGTCTGGCTCTAAAAGAGGCATGCAGCCACCCCTCATCGGGGTGGCAGTTGATGACGACCATGTGTTATCGAGGGAGCCCCACAGCAGATTGGTCAAAACCGTCCCCGGCGAGGAACCCTTCGGCGCCAAATCTCATGACACTTGCAGATGTCCAGCCGGCCTTGTGAACCAGAAACGATCACGGCAACGCGAGGTGACAACTAAACGCACCGATAAGATACACGTGGTGATTGTGACCAATCGACGCTCAGGTTCATCCTTCCTGGGCCAATTTTTCAATCAAAACCCTAAAGTGTTCTTCCAGTTTGAGCCGTTGAAACTAACAGAATGGAAGAGAGAGTTCTACCCAGACAGAATCCAATACCTTCGCCGCTTGCTCAAGTGCCAGTTTCTCAGGACACCGTATTTGGATGAGTTTTACAACCGAGAGCCGCTTCATCGAAGAAGCAGTCAAGTGCTCGTTGAACCTCCGCTGTGTAATATCACTCTGCGATATCACCGACCGCTGACTGACAATGCGATGAGGTACTGTCCTCCCTTGGAAACGACACCCCTCATGCAAGCCTGTCAAAAGAAGCAACATCAAGCGGTCAAATTGATCCGGCTATACAACATATCGTCGCTTGAGGAAATGGCCTGTGATCCTGACATCAACTTGAAGGTTCTGCACCTTGTGCGCGATCCCCGCGCAACCCACCACTCTAAAAGTCGCATCCGGAGAGCCAACGTGTCGCTGGAACTTGGAAAGTCCCTTGATGCCGACATCTCGTACCTGTGCAAGCGCATCAATCGAAACCTGGACTTCGCCGGTAGCATGCCAGCCTGGCTGCGCGGAAGGTACAAACTGATCAGGTACGAGGATATCGCATACGAACCTCGAGAACTTGCTAGGGAAATTTACGAGTTTGTTGGGCTAGGTCGACTTCCTCAAAAGGTTCTTAAATGGATCCAGGATAATACCCAGAGAAATGTCCAACCGAGCTTCAAAAGTCATGACACACCCTACATCTTGACCAAAAATGCATCCCAGGTCCCCGAAGCTTGGAGGCATCATGTACCGATCCAGGTTGTGCTCAGGATGCAAGAGTTCTGTGGAGAGACACTCAGAAGGCTTGGTTACAAGGAAGTCAAGTCAAAGCAGGAATTACTTGACAACAGCAACAGTTTGGTTGTAGACCTTCCCACAAGTTGAACTAGTCTTTCCAAATTCATAGAACAAACCGGAACTAATACCAAAAACCTCACAAATGTGTCGTTTTGTATTCTACAGAGGTCTCCGTAGTTTATTTTATTGTTCTCATTTCCGACCGAACTTTATTTTTTGGTTCCGACCGAGGAGGGCAAAACAGTATGCCGCTGATCCTGTGCAAAATTTCCTACCAAGAAAAAAAGTTTAAAGATTATAATCTCAAGAATTTTTAAGGAATGGAAAAAAATTCCCCCCCCCCGTTTTCAGACGACAGATACCTTACTTCAAGGTAAAAAAACCCCACGAGAATCAAAGAATTGAAAAGGGACATCTTTATAAATTATATCTAAAGATAAAATCTCGCAAAGCAATCTAAGCTTTAAACGAACACGTTTGTCACACATTATTACACAATCCTCTTTTGAAAAATGTTTTTGAATTGATTACAATCCAAACAGTTAAATTTTACGTAAAATTTATTAAAATTAAGTATTCTTACGAACTACGAAAGTACTTATGAGAAATATGGAAAGGTCACGTGGAAGCCTGGAAAATCTTGAAGTTTAATCCACCTGCAACGCGAGATGAACTTTAAGAATTTGTGAAAGTTTCCACACGTTTTGGGCTAATGGCCTTTGGCGTTAATAGCCTCCCTAACTCACCGCGACTACTATGCTGGCTCTTTCAAGATTCCTTTACACGATCTTTCACACATAAGGACTTCGAAATGATACCACCTAGCACTGGGACTGTTGGTTTCTATCAAGTATGTGCGACAAAACATTCCGTGTACAACGAACGCTAAAATTAAACATGTAAACCGAGTTTTTGGAAAAGTATATCATAGGTATAAATTAAGTGCAGCGCCAACCAACTTTCGCCAAAGGTCGTCCCGGCCTCCTGACCAACCCCTCAGGTGAGCCAAGACGAGCAGTTAGCCAGGTAAACCTAGGTGGTGAGTTCGTCTAGGTGGTGGAGTGCCTTATGCTGCAAACACGTGATGCTCGCAGCGCTCAGTCTCCCTTCATGACTGACTGACGGGAAAGTAATGGACACTGTCAGCTTTATTCATCGGTTTCAAATGAGAATCACAACGATTTAGATTTCCTCCTAATTGATAAGAAACTCCTTAATTGAATAAATGATCAAAAGACGGCACCTTCTAAGAAGGTATAAAGACCGTAAAGCACAACAAGAACTCCTGGCCTACAGCGCAAACTACAAGAACTCCAGAGATCCCAAGCCAGCACACCATCAAAATTCCCTCTGGGAAGTAACCAGTAGGTCCCCAGTGCGTCTCCAGCTTCCGATCCCCTATCGTTCAGTTTAGCACCGGTTGGTACACGTTCACTCAAGACGCAGAGCAGCGACTCACACAAACGTCCTTCCATTATGCCGCATTGCGATCATCCCTCCCCTGCATGCTCACACAGTCCGCCAACTGGGGGCGCTGCGTACACAGCCACTGACATCAATTATTCGTGAGCATATGCTCACTCGCAGCAAGCTCGCTTTTGCGCTGCAATAGAGCCTGAACGTGACCCCTGATGGCGCGCTTTCAGAACCCTTGGGCAGGAAAAAAATAAGAATTTGTAACAGTTTTCCGTTCAGTTACTTCTTTAAATATCCAACTCGGAAAAGGCCTGTGGAAAATATTTGCTAGCTTATCAATTTATAGAAACTGAAAAATTACCTGACCTAAAAGAGAAATATCCTGCCAAAATTTGACCCATCTCTTCAACTTGAAAAAATCTAAAATACATGAAGGACAGTACAATTCGGCGGTCTCGTGAGCAAATAAACTTTACGGAATTAAAGAGACTGGCGGTAAAAGCTAAAACATAAAACAGCTCAAACTATTTTACATATGTTTTTAACCTATAAGGAAATATACTAAAGGCAATAATCTACTTTTACGAAAGATTCTAATATTTTATCTAATCTTTGCTGACAAGCGCTGCGTCATGTCAACTCAACGGAATCTGGACTTAATCCATCGACTGCAGGTAGGTAAATCTTTGCAACATTGTACCATCTCGTTTTAACGTCAGCACAGGGAACTCAGTGGAGTGAAACAGGAAGAGCTTTCGGAATCATTAACGGAAATGAGTCAATGAAGTTCGTGTTTATACGTATCCCCAGATGACTTTTCCTGCATATTACTTAATTAAGGATGACAAACCAAAACTTATTTCTAACCTATGTGAGTAACGTGCTTTGAAACTTATCTCCAACCCATACTGATGTACGTATTTGACGTGTTCTGGACGACCCCAGACTTACTGAATGTGTCTCTAACCGTTACAAGTTATCTATTAAAGTTATCCAAACGTTCTGTATAAGTGACTAATACGTTATGTATTCGTCCAAATCGTTATGAATGCACTATAAAAAAAGTATATGCCCAAATTGGACACAAATCGATAATTCCGAGTCAGCGTATGCCAGCGTATTTACCAAATTTTTCATACGTCGGCAAAAGCTGGCTAAATCGTCAAGGTGATAGGGCCCTTACTTTTATCCGTGTGGCCCCCTATTGTGCACCCCATACAGAAATCAGGGTTTTTTTGTAGGCAGGCACTTTTGAATCAACTTGAAAATTACATATGTCGTTCAGCTACTGAACCCCACGAACACCAACCCTTGTTGACGAGTGATCTACATTGTATGTAGCTGACCTTAAGCGTTACTCAAATTACACGTAAATGCACATGGGCTTGCACTATTGGCTGCATGATAGCGATGTCATATTGGTTGCTCTCGAACAGCAGTGTGCTTCTGTAACTGTAACCTTGATGAATGAAGAGAAGGGAACCTCGTAGTAGTAGGGACTGAACCCACACGGTGCGGCGGTAGTAAATGTATTATGCACAACCAACCCGGCCAGTGTGCATAAAACATAAAGAAACGATCCGTTCACGGTACACCACACCCTAACGTTTTCGTTACACGCGGAAGTTGGTCTGAATGCCGATGTGGCATGCCCAGTGTGAGCTGACCTTTCTCGTACGGACATTACTTTACTTTTGTTTCAGTCAGCACTAGAAACCGACTATGTACCACTCTGCTATCAACTGTGACAGTAATGCTGGAAACTTTGTCAGCAAGCCATTTTTGTCCCACAACATGGCCGGCGACCTGCTCGGGAGATTGTACGGGATAGAGGCGAAGAGACTCCGTGAACTGCCGAGCTACTACGACCAAAACTTTTACGTGAGAGTCCTAGGAGAAGACGGCAGAGGGGGAAAGGATTGTGGCAAGTTTGTTCTGAAGGTAATCAACGGGGATGAGTCGGAGCAGCAAGCAGGGTGCTACCAGGAGATCGTCCGTGTACTCTGCTCTCTGCAGGGAGAGGATGGGGTCGCGTACCCGATGCCTCTGAAGAATCTGCAAGGCGGATACCTCAGCCTCCAGAGATTCCATCGCAGTGAGTAGAAACCTATACCCAGCAAGAAATGAGATCGAGGGGTACCCCCCCCAACATGTCCAATCCCTATACACATTCCAGACTATTGTTACTGAACACACCCCCCCCCAAGATGTCTGAAAGGAATTCCCCAGATTCCTGCGAGACAGTGACCAACACAAAGCAGGGGGAAGGGTTCTCTCCGTCTCATACCTTACTGCATATGTAGAAACCAGTGTTGTAATTAACCGGCGGGAAGAATAGTTGGGGAGGTATATACATTATATACACACATGGAGTCCAAAAGAGAGCCAGTGACATTCGAAAATAGCTTTAATCAGTTCATCGCTTTGTGAAGAATTTGTTCGTGGTTGACTGCTTCCATTCCGTTTTGACTCAATCGAGGCCAACAAGACACCAACGCGCTACAGGTTGGATGGGTGTAATGCAAGTCAGGGGGGATTAGAACACCATTTGATTGAAATACAAAAGCCGTAAATAAGGGTAGCGAAAATCACTCAACAGAGGCGAAATGGACAGACTAGTGACATGGATGTCACTTGACACCGGTGTACAAACCTTATGGGCCTAGTAAGAAAAGAAATGTGTTTTCCAAGTAAATGATTCAATATTTTCACAGCCAAATTTAATTTTGGGGGCATATTATCAATTTGTGCTGGATAAACAACTGCAAGAGAAAATAATTGATGTCCATATGTGGAACTCTTACCGCGACAATTTTATACCCCACTACAAACGCACCCACCTGTGCGGGGTAGACATTTTCTAAGCCTCACTGGAAGTTTTGTTATCTTGTCAACTGTAACAAACATAATAGAATCGTCTTGTGAAATGTGTTCACAAAACGTCCACTCTGGTTTTTTCCCGGGTGAACAATGACACACACCAATTAAGACTCGAAGCTTTGCATGGTAGATTGAAGACGGGGCTTTGCAGATAAATATCTTTCTGGAAGAGGTATTTTATCTACACACTCACCGGTTTTTATCAGAACCATACCTCTTCTAGAAGAGATCTATACCCTCATTGTGTTACCTGAAGCCCTCTCTACAGTCCCACAATATGGTGGCTATGCAAATATCAATGGATGACCTCGGTGCCTGTGTGCATTTATTTCTGGCTACATTTGTTCAAACTTTGGCCTAACAATCATGTGCCGACGTCAATACCCGTAAATCCACGATACAGGCTTACCGGGACGCGCACCTCGGTCATGAATACACGTGAGGCATGTTCGTTGAGTGAGCCACAAAACATGGAGTTGTGGCGACTCTTCAACTGAAATGAGTTCAGATGACAGTTGGTAGGACAGTTTAGGGTTCCGCTAAGCAAAGCTAGCAAATTTAATTTCAACCACTGATTACCAGTATGGTATACAGGTTATTAATTGGGAATCAGGTCAGATTGGGACTAAGACCTTGCATTTTCTCTACTATCTGACTGACAAAGGATCGGACGGCGCGCAAGGATTGTTCCTGATTCTTCTCCTGTCGTACGTCCCAGGAACGGTCTTGTCCGACGTCGAGCTGACCAACCAAGACCTGTACGGCGTTGGGAGAGCTGTAGCAAGCCTCAACAAGAAGCTGTTGGTAAGACCACCGGGAAAGAGTTGGACGGGCTTGCGTTGACTTTCAAAACACTGCAGTAATTGCATCGATATTCCAAGAGCAATTTTTCCTCTTGAAAATTTACTGTTAGCTCCTCCCATGTCCACTGTAAACGAATTCAGCTAAACTACCCCCGTTTGGAGTTGCAGGAATACAAAGGTCCGGTTGATCGTCTCAAGGAGCGCGCTAACACTTGTAAGTGGTGCCTGACCAGCGTTGCTGAAGTTAAGCGGTTCATCGACGGCGTGCCGGATGCTGAGCAACGCTCTTTAGCGGGGTCTGTGCTGGACAGGTTCTTGCGAGAAGTCAAGCCAATGGAAAAGACAATGCGAAAAGGTAAAGCAAAAAATCGTTTTCTTTTCTGAGCGCTTGGATTAGCCCAGCTTAAAATACTTTGCATTAATAGATTGCGTCATGTGACGCATCCTTGACTATTCCGAGCTTACGTTCTCAAGCACTTTTTACTCAACATACTTTTTGACTTCAAAGTAAACGGTTTTATTGCACGTTATCTGGCAGGTTTAATCCACACAGACATGAATCGAGGAAATATTCTGGCCCAGCCCAGTTTGGGACCGATCAACGAAAAGCTCGGCACGAATGACGTCAAGCCAACCATCCACCAATCGGTGAGCCACATTGTCAGTGGTATCATCGACTTCAATGACATGGCACTTGAGTGTCTGGTATACGACGTGGCGGGAAGCCTGATGGACATAATGCTCGGCTGTAAAGACAAGCAGCCGCTGGTGGCCGGCGGTCATTTCCTCGCTGGTTACACCTCCGTGGTGCAGCTAACCCGTATGGAGTGGCAGTCCCTGTATGTGTCTACGGCAGCCCGTCTGGTCCAGATATTGGTCTTGTCGCTGGATGATTTCCGCCAATCAAACCAGTCCAACGAATACATCATGCGCTTTGAGCGAGCTGGAGGCTGGGAAATGCTGAAGGAATTATGGGAAACGCCACAGCAAAAGGTGGAAGCATTATGGGAAGAATTATCCATCAACCGACACTGACACAATTTCACCGGATTTTTGTTTTGGGGATGGTTGTCCGAGTAGATAAATGTTAAGGAAAACTTTTAGGTCATCACATTCACCGGGTGTAATTATTTTAACAAAAAAAGCGCAATTGCCACAGAGCGTCGATTACAAATACGTTTTCTTCAAACATGTACATAATCGTATTTTCAAGACTCAAAAACATACTAATATTTATCAGTTTTATTTGTACTAAGACTTTCTTTGAATAGAATATTTTTTAATATTTATGTTTCAAAATTCCAACCGTCGGTTTATTAAATATTCAATTTATGAATGTTGCTCCTGTATTTATCGTTACTAAAACGTTTGTCAAATAAACCAAGCCACATTTAAATCAGTGTGGACTAGCTCAATTTTAATCTCTGTCTCGTTTATGCACAACCCCTCCCCCCCCTGAAATATGCTAAACACACACCACTCTTTCCTCAGTCAATCAGAGAGGCTAGTCAAAACAAACAAAGGTATTTGATTGGTCAGTTGCTGTCGGCTGATTATATCACCGAAGGTAGACTACCATGGATTGGTTAAACTCTGGAGCACACAATGCAGACATCTTGCATGAATTAGTGTGAAGGCAAAAGATACACACTATTGTGTACACTTTGTTGTGTGACATTTCATTCGCTGAGGACCTCCTTTTCAGAATCTGACAACTTTGAACTGTTCAATTTATTGAAACAAGGGGAAATGTTGGAAGATTTCAGACACAAATTGGTAAGATTTTGCTCTACTCCAGAATTTTACATATTACGCACTTTAAATAGTAAGAAACACATCACTTCATTCTTAAGTCATTAGTACGAGTACAAATTAAGAGTGTGATCACACTAGTACTAAAACATAAACTTTCTGTTACACTATGGTCCACAATGTATTAACTACTATACAACCTTGTACCCATGCCCGTAAAGTTGATATGACATAGTACGCACTGTAGGATTACTCCAAAATGCTGCAAATCAATAGCATTCGCTATGAAGTAAATGTTTGGTCATGAGTGTGACACTTCAATCATCCATCAGTCTAGGCAGTGTTGTAATCGAGTCAATCACAAGTGCATCACAAGTCATTCAGTCTTAAGCCAATTCACAAGCTATGCAAATGCTCTGTGACAAAAACATTCTTTTGTCATTGTTCACCCCGTTACTTATGACTAACCTTGTGAAAGGGACTTGTGACTGGCCTTGTGAAGGGACTTGTGATGGACTTGAAAACAACACTGGGTCAAGGCACTTTTAAACAGAACGCTATTTATTCAAACCCCCTGATTTACAAATAAGCTTAGAGAAAAGAAATTTGCACAACACTGCGAAAGACAATGTTCCTGACTATGTATAATATGTTATAAAACTAAATAAGCATGCAACAGGTGGTGTGAAAACCATATCAAGAAGGTTAATGATGCCCTTGTGGAGGTCAAAGGTTAAAGTTCATCAGTACCCTTGCCAAGTTTCTTGAGCGCTTCCTGCATGGAATTCAAAACTATGAGGAAATTAAGAAAAAGGAAAAGATAGTCACATGGGTGATAAACCATTGCATCTAGCTTGAGAAGGATCAATTTGTAATTTCTCACTATTTTGACATCTAATAACAATGTGGTATACAGGACGTTGTATCTTGAGTTATGGACCCTACCTCCATTTGCATCTGAGTAATAGTATTTGTACTTGGGATTTCCTCGTTGGTTGATGAGGTCAGTCTGGACCTCCCCTGCCTGATTCAGGAAGAGAATCCTGGGAATATATCCACCGTCTGGGATGTATTTGCTATCATTGGGCTCGTCATCATCCTGGAGAAGATTTAGATACAAACAAAAATAAACAATCTAGCAAACCAGTCCTCTAAACCCCAGTTAATCTGTACCACTACTTTTTTCCAGCTTCCTGAGTCACTGGGACATTGAGACAACGCATTTGGACTGTGTACCCTCCTCTATGTGGAGCACATGTGAACCCCTGTCATCAATGGACACTTAGCTGGTGCCCGTGTCTAGTCATATATCCTTATAGCACATGCGCACCAGTTGAGTAAGAATTTCAAAGCTGGTCGACTCCATAGAAACAAAATACATCACTGCTATCTCAAACATAAATAAAAGAACAGTGTATGGGAACCAGTAAAATACAAGCCCTCCAACCTCAGCCTTATTGCGAGCTGGGACTGCATCGGACTAATATGGCTGCGACTGCAAGTGGCATGTGTGCCTATGGCAGCCACTAAGCCAGTGGCTTGCAGCCATAGTGCCATACCCTTCAGATATGCGTACTACTGCAAGCCATAATCGACTGATATGGACACGGCTCAGATCAGGTTGTAGAGCGCTCTCTCTAGTCCAAGTTTTTACAACCAATCTGTAATGGACTCCAAACTGAGCCTAGAGATCTTTGTTTCATGACAGTAAAGTCTCACCATCACGTTGACCATTACAAATTTTTTGCTGAGATCCCTAATGGCCTCTGAGTCTGCAAACTTGGGTTTCAGAGCTGGAAGAGAAAAAAAAATCAATCAGAGACTAATTTACGTTTTTGCCACTGCCCACGAACAAACTAAAAAAAATTGAATTCATCTTGGACTCAAGCCAAAGAGACATCTTTCTGGTAAGGGGAGGCTGTGGTGGGACATTATCTCACACTGTTTTCCAAAGTAAGTCAAATAATACCCTACCCCAACCCAAGAAAATATTCCAGTAACAAGCGCAACTGTTCCTTTTATTACAAAAGCAAGCCTTTTCTGCTTCAAAAGAATGTAGCCAAAGTTTTTCAGTATTCTACGCCGCCATCTTAACTGTTTACTCAAGCGGCATGAAACACTGCTATCAGCTATGACTTGCATACCTTTGCATGCACCACACCATGACTTGTGTATAATCAACATCAGTGGTTTCCCTCTAAAATTAAAAGGACAAGTGAATCTGATGTAAGATTGATTGAAAGGGAGATGAAGTGGAAAGGCATGTATCTCGATTTCTAACTGCTTCCCTTTTAAAATCTGTGCATTATATTTGGCATTAGAAAGATAATAACCATGCTAAACAAGATGCCAGATGCAGATTCCAGATCAAACGATTGTGAGCTGAGCACTATTAAAGAAAGGTGTAACTTTTCAACTAACATAAGCAGATACTTACGAGCTCGTAGACTGGGCCAAACCATCTGGCAATGACCACCACTCTATCTCATCACCAAACCCTGAAAAGGTTTGACATTAAGTTAACTGTGGAAACAGGGTTTTCAGTAAACAAATCAGGTAAACAGGTACGAAATGTGAATGGTGACATGTCAACAAACACAGGCCGAGACAAATCTACTTTTGACAACCTCTGGAGAGGTTAATTAACAAAGTAGGCTAAAATAATTTTTGTTAAGGCAAAGGGTCAGATAATTTAATTGAATCAGCATGGCAGCTTATCAACTAATATTTAGAAACAATGTAAAATAGGGCCGGGCCTAGGACTAGTCATGGAGGTATTCTACCTCCATGGACTAGTACAGGCTACAGTGCTGGTAAAATTTGTCCGGAATATGGACACACAGATAAACAATTTTGACCACGGTTTGGACTCATTCTTAACAAATGTTTCAGTTGTAATGATAACATTTCACTAAAGGAAGCTTACCATTTCCAACAGCACTCTCAGTGCCAGCGTAGACAACAGAGGGAACTAGCGTAACAAGGCTAAGAAATGCTGTAATCCACGTCCACATGATGGCCGCCATGTTGCCGACTCTGGCATGACCAACAGAGGGCGCCTGCATTGCCGGTTTTGTCGTCTTTCGACTAGTGTTCTCAACCAATTAGAGAAACCAATTAGTCAACAATAGGAACAAACTTAATGACCGTGTCAATGACGAGTTTGCAGACCTTAACAGAATATCCTCTTAATGACAGAGATATTAATACAATGCTTCACTTGTATGGACCTTCACAGAATGGACCTACCGCCACTCTAGATCTCCCGACTTTTGGGTGAGACATTTTGTAACATAAGTGAAGAAAAGGTTATGGACAATGTCCATGGCTTAAGGAATAACGTTCCATCTTAGGGCCATCATTTGTTTTAAACATTTTTCCGTTCCAGTCGAGCATGCCCAGACTAAATACAGGATATCCACCTCTAAAAATATTCGGTGAAAAAATAAACTTGTTGCTGGAGAAAATCATACTCGTAAAGCCTAAATTAGGAATGTAGGATTGTCACATACCGTGTGTTTTAAAGTAGGCCTAAAGACCAGGACCTCCGGAAAAAATTTCTTCCTGAACAAGTTGGATCTTGAAGGTGACTCACTGGACCGATTTTTCCCATATGGGGGAATATACTGACTCTGACATTTAATCAACGGGACAATGACAAATCCCTAAAGATGATTAGATAGAACTTCAAGGGTTTCCTCAAAATTTGCGCTTTGGCCTTCCTTATAGCAGCCGTGGCTTATAACAGAAAGCTAGTATTCCTATCGAGTCCTAGTTCACTCCATAGTGTCATCATAAGTCTTCGGTGAATGAGAGAAAAGGGCCATAGGCCCTACACCAGTTTACGTCGCACCCATGATGGAAAGGGATGCACATAGGCCCGGGTTTGCCAAAATTCCTCATGACTCATACATTGAGTCACCTCCAAATAGGACGTCTTTTTCTCAACTCCATTAAGTTTCCAGATAGCCACACTGTCATCGATAATCACTGTGTTGGAACTGAGCAGTGGATCACGTGAGCATGGTGTTGTGCCGTAGGCTTACGTACTTAAAATTTCACGAGGTTATCGGCAAGTGCGTACATTAACCATCTGTCATTGCGATCTTGCAGAGGAGTTGGAACATGGCCAGTTAATCTTTGACGTCTCTCCTTGTCGCATTGGGCCATTTAATCGTTGCCATAATGCGCGCCAGCAGCTGTGAAAATCCTTAAGTACAGCTCTCCGTGTTCAACGGCTCATAGAATGGACATGATGGATATATACGTGAGTCCGGATGACGAGGATTCTGACACCATCTCCACCAAAGTTGCTGAAAAGTGCAATCCACACAAGGTGGTAAGTACCAAGAACCGGTCTGAGACTTCGGTTGGTCCTGTACCTTTTGAAATGATTGGAACCTTATTTCGAACGCCAGTTCAGTAGAATCTTGACTGTGCCTGACTGCGTGCAAGGTGGGATTAGGCGTGGTCAAACTACAGTGGAACTCGGGTGTGGCGTTTGAAATAGACGGCTTGACTGCTGGACATGTCCCGCCAGCATGTTAATCAAAACTTCCGCTGAAGACAAGGCCACTTTCAATAGTCCACTCACTGGTGTCCTCTACCGCGTGCTCCCCTAAAAACCCAAATGCGAAGTTTTTTCTGCAGTTGTCATAACTCGCTTTGTTTGTTTAGTTTTTGTGGTTGTGTTATGTTAAATACTCCTTCACGAATAGAACGATTGTGCCCGCTATGTCACGTGACCGAGTTGGTATCAAACATCAGCAAACACAGCGTCCTCCCATACCAAAGTGTGTCAATGGTGTCAGTTACCAGACATAAACCCAGCAAGGTATACTCAGACGACTGCAGTGTGCTGAGCACTACACCGAAAAACGTCATTATTTTGGTAAACAACACGTATAACGACATACTTAAAGGAAGGACGCTATGTTCGTTGATCTTTGACACCCACTTATAAGTCACGTGACGTAGCTGATGGCGCCATAGGTCGATTCGAGCACGTGAACGAAAACTGCCCTGCCTTGGCCATAGTCTCTCTGTGTATAGTCGTTCGAATGCAACCGCCCCATGTGTGTGATTTTAACACTACTTTGCATAAAATGTCAGGTCACATTGTTACCATTGTGGGGGGCCCATACGCCTTGATTCTGCCGTACGCTTTTGTGTCTCTTTTGGTATTATAATATTCGACACACAAGCGACAGTTTCTCGAGAAATCGGCAATATCGACAATTCATTTTCCTTCACAGATGTCAGCTTTTCTTGCTTATAAATCCAAAAGTCAAATAAAGGGCAGCAAGGCAACGCAAATTGCATTGCTGTTATAAGCAAAGCAAGTCCTGTAACTGATGACGTGTGGTAAGGTCAATGAAGGACATGTCCCCGCTCCAACCCCTCGAGTGATTCGGCTAATGTCAAGGGTCTTTTTCCAAATCTCGATGTGTGATCAAACTGAATGTGTGCAACCATCCCCATCTCAGACAAAATCTCTGGCATGACAGGACGCTGTGTCTTCGTTTCACTACGGTTAACTTGAGCGTTAGCACCGCACCGTTGACTCTCAGCAATTGACTTTGGACTTGGGAGAGCGGATATGACAATTAAGATCAGCCTGGTCAGAAGGCTATTAATAGCAGGGCATTCGAGCAAGCTGTGCTGCTTGTTAACTGACGCCAAAATCGCAGGGTACCAGTTCATTAGACTGCATGTGTCCGAATTTTGGCTGCCGCTTGAAATTACATACACGTCTGTGTTAGCTGGCTGTAGCCACAGCCATAGATTTGTGCGTAATTTCAAGCCGCAGCCAAGTAATTTGGACACAGTCTAATTATTACGGTGCTTAAAGTTCAGTTTAGTTCACAGACCGAGAAATGTCTGCCGATTACCATTCAGGGGGCCTACTGAAATGCGTAATGCCTACGGTTCGCATCACAATTCCATTTCCTTATATCATTGTTTTGCTAAATGAACTTCTGTATATAAACCAAAATTAGGAACTAGTTAGAAGATATGAATACACGAGATACATGTATTCATGTATTTTTAGTTAAATAACTTTAAATGTCACTAAATGTGATCTTCAGCATTCCATCAGCTCAGGGAGAAAGTGTTAAAAATGCTCAAGGATTATTTTGTTTTGTGGCGCGGATTGATTTAACTTTAAAGGTGAACAAGTGGAGAGTTCCAAGAATTTAATTGCTCATATCCTTGGCGTCAAGTTTACAAGAGGCTCGGCCAGCGCAGGGAAACCCACCCAAAATGTCACGGACTTTGCTAAACGGGAAATTGCAATGAAACCTGACAGATATGGAAGATTCAAAATGCTACATGAACTTCGCTAAAATGACCAAAGTGAGTATTGTTTTTAATTCTTGGTTTCACTTGTTCCTTTCCCCCTAAATTAACTATGCGCTGCTTGGCTGTAAATCACCGCTTTTGTCTTCTTGTGATCATAAAACCATTGTTGCATTCATGCATTTGTCTTAATTCACTCTTGTTTCACTCAAAAAAATTCTTTCTCATATCCATCTTTCTTGGCAAATCTTTATTTTGAAATCATCTACCCCTCATTTCCGCACTGCCTCATTTATGATTTTTTTCTTGTTCCCGCCTGCTGACCTCTTCCTTGTCATCTTCGGCTCTGTGCCTCTCGTCCGTATGTTGTCTCATCTTGCGTCTTTCCACCCCTGCTTCTTTGCCGACTCTTCCCTCCCTGTGCGGCACTATAGGTGTGGCTGAAATGTAAGGCCAAGGCCGAAAGAGCCCTCAACATTGTGAAATTCCCTCCGAGAGATGAGCAGCAATCATCCGACCACCACCCCAATCCAGACAATAGCATAGAGCTGCAGCAGGCAGTAGGTAACAAGACCTCGACCCCGGCCCACTTTGGGGTGTGACCCGGGGCTTTAAAAGCTTATTATCATTGTTATCATTAGTAAGTTTTTAAATAATTATCTTACAAATGCATATTGGAAGATATCTGAGAATTCTAAGCTTAATTGCCTGCTTTAATTGCAGTAATAGGAAAACACTTTACACTTTTATGTGCGGAGTAATTATTGGAGTTGGAAGAATAAAATAAGCATTTGACTTGATTGTTAGATTTTTTTCTGTTGCTGTTGCGGACGGAAGTTTCTCCCAAGTTTTGCACCGTGGTGACTATGCAAACTTGCTCCCAGATGTTCATAATGACTTGAAATCCACACTATTACTACGCCTCAGCTCTTCTTTGTATTGCATAGGGATTCGTGAACACTTTAAATGTAGCAGATAACATGCTTTCTTCTACATGAGAATGCCGTTGCCTGTTTGGTTGGTTAACACTTCAAAGGCTTACAGCTTGTGTAAATTATTCGTGCAGCAGGCAACACTTCCAACACGTGACTCATTTCCTTGGTCACATCCCCAGGTGCCTGCTATAAACTGATGCACGAAATCATCTCTCCCGATTTCGATTTTTCAAGGGCAGTGGCCGAGCTTGGTCATTTTTCAGCGTGCCAGAAAACTTCCCTCATACTCAGTGTCATTTTGTATTTACTTTTTTAAATTAAAATTTGGAACTCCATACCGGTTCTTTGAGGTCTCTATTAAATTTGTATTTCTGTTTATAATTAGGAATAATAGTGGCGTAGTGACACGTTACAAGTTTCCTGCATTTTTTTGTATTCTGTAGCCCCTGATGGCTGACCAGGACACGCAACAGGACATGCATACTATCAAGCATGACAATACCTTAAGGGCGCCAATGATGAATGAGCGTCAGTTTGAGCACACAAGGGTGCATGTTGAGACGGCCGAGCAACTCGACATGAAGGACAGGGACCCGACAGATATGAATAAACACGTCAGGGTAAGCTGTCGGTTCCCCTGGAACCAGAGTGCTGAGTAGAAAACTGATTCAATACCCAGCAAGAAATGAGACCGAGGGGTACCCCTCCCAACATGTCCAATCCCTATACACATTCGAGACTATTGTTACCTAACACATCCCCCCAAGATGTCTGAAAGGAATTCCTCAGATTCCTGCGAGACAATGACCAACACAAAGCAGGGGGGGTTCTCTCCGTCTCGTACCTTGCTGCATATGCTGATTCAACTGCGCCAACGAGCTAGTTGGGTGTTTCAGTAAGGAATGCGAAAAAAACAAACACCTTACGTCACGCCAGCTGGCGCGTGGAATGAGCCCATGGAGCTATTACTTAGTATATCCAGTTCGGTATTCCAATAGTGCATGCTCACAACGAAACGCGTCCGAGGTCATTCGGAGGCGCGTGCGAGATCTGCCTAATCGACGTGACCCATCGCAGACAAGCGCACGTGCTATATTTCCGAATGACCTTGCATTTTTAAAACACCGACCTGGCTTATAATTGATGTTTTCCAGTGACCAATGGCGCTCTTGCAATATTGTCATCCCTGACTTCTTCTTTTTCTCTCTCTCTCTCTCACCGACTGGCAGGTTTGGTTCGAGGAGGTTCTAGCCGAACCTGAAGGCATGCATAGCTTTGACAGGGTCTGGCGGTTCAGTTTTGTCACATTCACTACTGTCAAGTCCTGGTCTTACCGCTTCTGTACGTTGCTCTGCGGTGTCCCCTTCGCCATCTGCTGGGGTATGGCCACAAGACGGTTATGTCGAAATTTTCAGATTGTCACCAGGCTTTCCGAGTTAGGTGCTATATACAGAGACCCAAAAAGGACTGAGATATTTTACTGATATAGATATTACGAAGATATTGTGTTTAATTTAGAGACGTAGATCTAACTACATGTGATAGAGTTCTTAGTCATTTCTTCTTTCAGTTTTTTGAAATAAACACGAAACACTCATGCGTTGTTAATTTAATTAAGACATCTATCTATCAATCAAGCAACATTTATTTCCACAATAAATTAATAAATATACATGTAGTTAATATTACACACGTCGAGAGATTGGGGAGAAGAATCAATAAATTCATCGGCAATTACAGAGGCATCTTCCGAAGCCGAGGCTTATGGAGATGCCTTGACAAAAACTGAAACAGAACATTTAACATCTCCTTCTTACAAGACAATTTCAGTTATTGGCTGCACGTCTAGTGTCCGCATTTTGTCTGGTTATACCCTCTTCAACTTTTAGAGCCATGCCATAACCTCAATTTCTACACGTATCTGCTCAAAATGAAAATCAACTCTGAAAATATAGCTTTATCCGAAAGTAATTGGCAGTTAAACACACCCACATCATTGTACGTGTAGGAAGTGGACTCAGTCACTGGTAGCGGCTTTCATATGAGTTCATGTTTACTGAGCCAGCCGTAGCCCGAACTTTCGAACACAGTCTAATCCTGTGCGGGCGGCTTTCATCCTTCCCAGGTGTCTACTTTGCTTGTCTCACCTTCCTGCACATCTGGTACGTAGTTCCTTGCATCAAGTCCTGCCTGATCGTTCTTCACTGGGCCAGCAAGTTGTGGACATTGTGTATCCGCACTTTTTGCGATCCATGCTACGAGTCTATGGCAAAGATCTTCAGCAACATTCACCTTACCAGCTATCGACAATGACCAAAACTGGCGGCAACTGAGAGAATAAGCTACAACATGTGCTTTCTACGCCACTACATTTAGGAATTTGATTTTTCGCTCTCTGAATAAAGAAATTTTTGAACTCCTGAGAGCGTGTTATTGGAAGTAGCAAACAATGGCACAATAGAAGTCACAAAGTTTGGCATACATATGGCCTGTTTGTTCCACACGGAGCTGGATCTCAATCAGTGATTCCAACGCTGAGTTTGCCCCATCCATTAGGCGGGTTTCGGTATCAGCGAACCAATGTCAGATCACTGATCGCGATCCGGATCTACATGAAACAAACAGGCTCATAGAGATCCGCAGAGTCAGTCAAGAATGGAAATCGATGATTGAAGAACGGAAGATTGGAATAGTGAATTGCTCCTGCTACTAAACGTTCACAATGCAACAATCGCATGTGTTTGCTCGCCCCCACCGCCCCCTCTTATGAGGCGCTTGGAGCGATTTTTTACGCAACACGCAAGGCAAACCCGACTTGCATGGCGCGTGCGCACTGAAAGTAGGCCTACATTGAGTTGATTAAGACAAGTATGGTTCACGTGCGGGTACTCTCGATAATGCTTTTTACACACACAATTGTGCGTGTGACGTATTCACTTGAGCACTCTAATAGACAACCGAAGTGAATACGTCACACAAGACCAGGGGCTAATGAAGGAAAGCGCACGCAGCCCATGGAGTCGAGGTGGGCAAATGTCATGTTCCTAAAAACCATGTTTTCAAGCCCCATCATTTCTGTAAATGCTTATTATGAAATTGCTAAAGCAAACACTAGCTATGCTTGATTTGAGGCTTCAACCTTTTATACATTGTAAATTTGCTTAAAAAGAAGTCGCAAGTAGAAATTTTACTGTTGCTAAACCGTTACATAGTAACTTTTATGTTAATCCAGACCAGTCAAAGTAACTTATAGCTTCACTATGCGCTAAAAACAAGCCTTGAACAATTATCTTGAGATTGCATATTTAAAGACAAATGGTTGGATTGATACTATTCCGCTATACCTACTGCCCTATTTATTCTGCACGCAATTTATGAAGTAAATATATTCATGTGATATTAATTTAAACAAAAAATATACAGACTATTTATCTCCAACAAATGGCATTCCCCCCAAAAAATACTGTTAACGCTATTTATAATGTTTTCCCTTCACAGAATGTCCTCTGTACTAGGGTTCTAAAACGACTGCAGTAACAAAAACACGGCTATTATTTCAACAGAAGCAGTCTCGTCAAAGATACGAAAAGGAGCCGTTACCGGACAAAGCGCAACGCCACCTTTTCTTAAAGTGCTGACTGTTGATCTATGATGCTGCTCTTTCGAAATAATTGCTTGCTCTAAACCCTGAACCAAAAACACCCTTTTCTGCGTCAAACCTTTCCAGCATTCTTTCTATCATTGGTTTTTCGTGGAGATATCTGTGGATTATGAAATCATCTTCAGAAGATACACTGGTTTCGTTTATCAGCGGAACGGGACAGTCAAGGAACGTCACTGCTGACACCAGTTTCTGCAGTTTAACAGTTTCCCCCTTTGGGATCACCCAAACAGCTTTAGATGAACTCCCCGACAAAAACGATTTCGAAGTGTTGCCCACGTCCATGGAATATACAGGCCTACCCCTTTTCTTGTTCAAAAGTCCAGATCAAACTTTTTTCAGACTGCCGTTTCCCAAACCATCAAGCAGTTCGAGTCATTCTTGGAGAAAAGGAATCGTGATGCGGCGCCCCCTCTCGGCACCCTGGGACACCCATCTGTTACGATGCTAAGACCTCCTCCCCGAGCCTCTCGTATTTTCCTCACCGTCTCAACTGTGACGTTCTGGTTGCAGCTGAGATCGAGGTGGCGGAGTCTTTGGGCGCTCAAGCCCAGGCACTCGATTGCATGGTCGTCCACCCGGAAGCATTGCTTCAGAACAAATTTCTCCAGTTGGAGGCAGCCAGCGGCGACTTTCACCACCCCGGTTCCTCGAATCTCGTGACAGCGTGTCAGGATGACGACACGAAGGCGAGGACAGCCACTGGCCACGCTTCCCAACCCCGCGTCCGTTACGTACCAGCAGTCCGTTAGGTCTAACCACTCTAATTTATTCATCCCTTGGCCAATGTGTTCTAGACCTGTATCCTGCAGGAAGCACTGCCTTGCTATGAGCGTGGTCAACACGGGACAGTTGCGAGCAATGCTCTGCATGCTACCGTTGGTCGAATGGCTGTGGCTAACATCCAGGTACTCCAATTGCGTGCAGCCTTGTGTCAGCCTGTCCAGATCCATGTCCAGAAGAGGATTCAGCTTGACTAGGTCCCGGGACCAACCCACGGACAGGTGTCTGAGGGAACTGCAGAAGAACGCCAGCGAGACCAGCCGGTGCGGATCTTCCCTGAATCCCAGACAGTCATTGAGATTGATCGTCACCAGAGTCCTACCAATCATCTTAAAGAGATGGACCACGCCTGCGCATGTGATGAAGGGGCAGAAGCTGACATCCAATTCCTGTAGCTGCGTCAGATAGCTACCGATCACCTTCAGCCCACCGTTAGTTATCTGCTTACACCTAGATAAGCTAAGTCGCTTCAATTTTCCACAATGGGCCGCAATCCGGAACAGCGTATAATTTGTGATATCCTCGCATCCGGACAGGTCCAAACCGATCAACGCTTCACCTGAGACATCAAGTACACGTTGTAAGACAGCAAAGGAAAATAAACACCTTGAAGGTACTGTGAGAGTTGTAAGCTGGTAGAGTGTAGGATCTTCGGTGATGGCGTGTAGCCGCTTGCAAGTCAACTTGAGGCACATGAAAGTCTTGTCCAGGGGGTAGATGAACGAGACGATGCGAAGAAGCAGCTCGTCTGGAAGATTGCAAAGGTTTGATCGTTGTCTTGGCGTTGGTTGAACGACACAGCGATTTGAAGTAGAATTCGTAACTGCAGAAGCAAAGGTATAAAAAGAGATGACGAGATGACCAGTGAGAGAGCTACTTTAATTTGAGACTTGTTTTTACACTGGTGCTCTCCAATGCCTCATCCCGTTAATCCTCTTTATATTTGCTTGCTGCACATGGGAACCAGTGATCGGATGCTTCCATAATGAAGTCACTTTAATATCGATATCCTCACCTGCATCTGCGTCTGCCACGGGGCCAGAAGGTTGAGGTAAGCTTCTAGCGCTGATTATGCCTGCCGTTTGCTCCCCCGTTGGCTTGGCACTGCTGCCCCGCTCGGCAGTGGGAGCCTCGTCTGCTTTACGTCCGCCAGGCCGTTTATCTCGGACTCGCCTCTTGTGCAACCACCTCCTAACGAACTGCAGTGTATGTTGTGATTTATTGACCAGGTACTTGTAGACGGGTTATTATTCGACTGTCTGATAGTCACTATATCCCATAAACGTGACAAAAGGGCTTCATCCTCAAACATGTGAGGTTGCCAAAGGTAAGCAGCTTTTGGATGAATTCCATATACTTCATCTTACATCCAATATAAAAGCTGTTCGCCCAACATTGCTTCATCGTTTGAAACATAGAGTCCTAAGATGAAAAGCCGTACATATGGAGTATAATTAAAGAGTTGAAGTGGTCTGCGGAAACAACACCAATCGAATGACTCTTACTGATACAAGCCATATTTCGTAAGACGTATCATCTTTATGTTTCCTCTCACTGTCTGGTCTAGAAGCTAAGGGTGCCCTCATCTGTAGTCATAAACACCAAGCACCGGCCTTTACTGTTCAAAACATAGTTGCAAGGCGGAATGTTCAGGTGGCGTTGTGGTGAAAGTCCTTTCCCTTTAACTTTAAACTCTGTTATAAGATGTAATCATCTTTTCCACTTACCATTGTTTCCCCGAGACAGCAGTTTATCTTTTTATTTCGCTTTAGAGGAAGCTCCAATGAGTGTTGATATCAACCAAAGATTGTATAGCGCCGCGCACAATCTTTGATATCAACCGGACCAAACTGATGAAAACTGCTTCTTCGCGCGCACTATTTGTTGTTCCACGCCTCGCGCGTATAGACGCAACGTGCGAGTAGAAGTTTTACTAACATTTTGAGACGCAATATAACTATCAAGTCAAGGTTTGATTCTGAACAACTCTTTCAGTGGAGGGGTCCCAAAAAAAATGGGGGAGGGGAATTTGGGAAATTCTATAAGTAACCTTTCATGGCATTTCTGAGGGATGAGGCCAAAGTTTGGGATGTCTATGACACGCTTTTGGAAGGAAAAGAAACAATCCTTACCCGAAAGCGCCTTCCTCTCACCTCTTGGTCTCGACGGTTCGTCCCCAATCGAATAGATCTCAGACTCATACTTAAGTTTAATTTTAAGTTATAAAAAAAGGGGGAGGGAAATCCCCCCACCAAAAAAAGAAAGAAAAAGAAACTCACGAACATAGAAAATTTGATACCTGGCTACTGATTTTAAAAACAATCTAAAAACTCAGGGAAGGGTGTATTTATACAGAAAAGACAAGTTCTGCTTTTAAACAGGATCGTAGCATATAAATTAAAAATACTGTGATAACGATGATGGCAGCTATTTTTAGGAGCTATACATTGCTGCTTAAATAAGTGTAATTTACAACACAATTTTTTCAGTGCTTCGATTTAGATAGAGGATGAGGATGTGATAATTATTATTTACAATAAAAATGTGGCGAGGAGTGAATGAGATCAGGATAGTGACGAGTGGTGATTTTGATATCACCAATGAGTCCTGGAGCGGCTGCACCAAGAGAGGGCGTGCAACTTTCCCTGCAACGATGGCTCCTTGGGTAGGAACTGCACTTTGCTGGTTTACAAATGTCTATGAAATGGTCGCGTCGATACCAACAAATAATGACCACTCCCCACCAACATGACTCTTTTCAACCGATGAAGGGGTGCTTCTCCTCAAGGCGAATAATGTACACCTCTTCCGATCCCTTCAACTCACCCACGCACCCACATAATAAAACATCCCATCACTTTCAACCAGTCATCATCTTTTGCTTTTACAGTAAATGGGCTGATACTGATGAAACGGGAAAATGGTTTTGAAACTGATGGATTGTGAGGTAAGAAGTAACTGGCTTCTACAGGATATGACGTTACTAAAACAACTATACAGTCACTACTCGCGCGTAGGGTGGAATTTAGTTAGTGCCATAGAAGTTATCATTAATAACTTTAGAACCCACTTGCTTGCTAATGGGAGCTTTATTAGTATTGTTTTCATTGTCAAGAAATGTACAAATAACCCGAACGACAGTGGAATGGACTCATTTACGGCCTTAATGATATTGTGCAATGTTACCTTCACGGAAGGTGAGACCCCCGTCAGGCGAGTGCCTCTAACTACTTGTAAGACTGTAAGAATATGTCATGATGACGAGATTTACACTCAGAAGTTGTGGAAAGACTGGTCATCGGACTAAACAGTAGAGCATGCAGATCACCTGTAACCTTGTGCAATTCACTAATACGGTCGTTTGACATTAGTGCGCCACCAAGTGTTTGCAACGTGTTGGCCAATCACAATGCGCGAAATTTGTCGACCCAATGCGCGTTTGGAAAGGGTCGACAAATTTCGCGTGTTATGATTGGCCAACGTGTTGCAAACTCTTGGTGGCGCACTGTTGTGAATCGCTCGTATTAATCCCTTTCCTTTATTGTACCTTCATTCAAGAAATAATCCGAATGTTATTTGATGATTGCACTTGTAAGAGTTTTCCCTTCCGACTCATAACTGTTGAGCATCTTGTTGTGGCCAATTTGTGTCGCATTGTTTTCCATTGTACATGTAGTAGTAGTTTACTGGGGCCTTTGGACCCTCAATTTCTGCTTGATAGGCTTCAACCCAGTCTGCTGTAACGTATACCCCCAGAGCTGTCCGTAGCTGACATCAGTTTATAGGCAGTGTTAGGTTGATGTTGCTCTTTGGTAGAATTCACACCAGAAAAATAGAAAAAGTGATATGTGTCGAGTTATGGAAGGGGAATTGGTTGCTGCTCGGTCGGCAAAGGAGAATTACTTCTTCTTGGGAATTGACGAAGTGGAAAACCTTTTTTGATAGCATGTAAACGGCTATGGTTGGGCGTGTCAAGGCCAGGGAGGAAATGTGTATAGGCATTTTACATGTGGAATTCACAGCAGTGGCGAGGTTAAACGGTATCTGAAAAGACGAAAACAAATTATAGCATTATAAAGCTAAATAGTCGCTATAATTTCTGGTCAGCATGAGCCTAAACCAAGGCTTTGTTATTTTAATTTGAAGAGAGTGGACAGTGTCCAACTGCAATGCTGGATCAACTGGAATCCTACTTGTGTTTGCTTTAAACGACCTCTAGTCGGAAATATGCCCGTGTGTTTTAATTGTATTCGTGCAGAGGTTGCAAAAATACCTAACAACAAATCAACACCATTTTTCAAGCTAACCTTTTGCTTCAAACAAGAACTAATTTTCCTATCTTTCCCTCTTCTCTTGTACGGTAAGCATGTGCAACATAACGCTAAAAAAGATGTCGGACGGTAGCAGAGTCGTTAATCGAGTTTAAGCGACTTGGCGGACTTGACGCCAGTTGGAATCGCGTCATCCTTTATATGACTTCTCTTTTAACTTAACTTTTAACTTGATTTGGACGAGCAAACATCACTTGTGACTTGACTTGGACTTGCAAGATATGATCTGATGCCATGTCTGGACAGTAGAGGTTCCTTTTCAGCAGCAGAGAAAGTAATTAGTTTCGAAAACGGCAACCTTGGCAGCACAGCTTTCTCAGCGACCTCTTCATTTCTTCACGGAACTTGCGATTGACATAGCTGAATAGGATAGGGTTGGCCGCATTGTTGATCACGTTGAGGTAAGAGGCCACGTTCACGCAGAACCGAACCGTCTGGTTCTGCAAAAATGGGACAATGAGGGGATACAGTGTCAAGATGATGCAGAGTGGTAAAAGAGTGACGACAAAGACCACCGTCGATAGCAGGAGCATGAGCGTGGTTCGCTTGTGGAATGTTTGGGCCGTGGGTCGGTTGGTTTCGTCTGCAGCTGTGCTGTGAGCTCCTGGAACTGTACTTGAGGGGTTATCGCGGGTAGCGTTGAGTGCACTGGTGCTAGGCGCTGTGGTCTTCGGGAGTGGATCTAGGATTGGTAGTTCCTTCATCTCCTGCTGATCCCCAGTCCACGCTAGCTTTGTAACCCCTTTGTGTCGTGGGTTTCCCTGTTCTGGCTGAGGAGGACTCCTGCGATCCTCCGGGTCATATGCGGGCTTAACCTTAGGGATCTCTCGGTTGGTTCCACTGGTGAGAGTTTTTAGTTGCTTGGGTGTGATGCCCTCTGCTATGGCAGTGGAATCGTCTTGGGATGGTCGGCAGGTTGGCTGCCGAGCTTCGCGTCGCACCTTGTTCCCCGGACGCACCTTCGCCATCCGGTTGACTGTCCGGTAGATTTTGATATAGAGAACCACAATGAGGATCACGGAGGCAACGAAGGAGATCATCAGGATGATAAACTGAGCGCTGATTACCGCAGAGGGCAGGATGAAAAGGCAGGCCTGCGAGCCGTCCTCCAAAGTCACCACGCCGTAGGTGAACAAATACGACAGCGTGACCAACACGGACACCGCAAAGCAGCCAAGCACGACGTGCCGGGCCCGCCGCACGGTCAACCGGCGACCGTGTGGCCTGCAGATGGCTAGGTAGCGGTCGACTGCCACGGCTGAAGTCAGCAATATGGAGGTGTATTTTGGCCAGGCATCGATGCTGGGCTGTACACGGCAGAAAAACTCATTGGACGAGCGGAGAGTGTCGAGCGGGGGAAAGAGTTGGACTAGAGTGATGATCCGGAGCAGGCATACACTCACGTCGGCCCAAGTCAGACCAATGATGAAGATGTGAGGCGTGACCTTGTTTTTCTTGGCCGTGTATACCTGAATGATGAGCAGATTACCTGGTATCCCGATGATCACGACAACGCTCTCAAGGATCACCCGGAACCACCATACCGAATCCAAATACATTGCAACCAGAGCTTGAGCCTGAAAATGTAAAGATTTTTAAATATAAGAAAACAAATAAATGTTTTCCATTGCCTTATAAAATCAGCAATAATCACTGAAAAGTGTTCCTCTTTCTCACACAACGTACAATTTGTCTCGTCTATGGTAAGAGGGTGCAGGATACAACGACCATGAACAGGAGCTTAGTTTAAGCGGACGAAGCTAAAATGAATTTTTCGAGGCACATTTTTCTGCAACTTTATACCGTTCTTCAGAGTATGAAAAGTTTTGACATCCCCGTCAGGTTAAATGCGCTGAAAGTGTACGGTGTTAATTTAAACTTATAAAATTATTTATGCTTTCCTGTACGACTGAGGTTGCTGTTGCTGTGATGTCATATAGCAAGATATTGATTCAGTGCACAGGTGTTTTCGTTTGTTTGTACCCAAAATATATTAAACCGAACTCGTCCCTTTTGCCATTATGTGCTTGGCAATCATTGTGGTATCTGTGGTATGCATGGCCTCAAGCTGGAGCAAGAGAGGGCACTATTTTCTTGGCAACGAAGGCTCCTTTGGTAGGAACTGAACTTCGCTGGTTCACTAACGACCAGGAAATGCACGCACCACGGTCGTATCAACAAATTGAACACTGCTGACCAACGAGGCTCTTTTCAACCGATGGGGGCACTTCTGCTCGAGGTGGATAGTGAGAAAATACATTAAACACAAACTTTAGTTAATTTATTTTGCACCTGTTTAGTTCCTGTACATTTTTTCAAACTTCGATATTATCTTTCGTTAGATCATTTTCCACATCAAATATCCCAGGATATGACACTGACCTGGCACAAAGATGTGTCTGTAAGGTGTAAACTGGAAAATGTAATATAACCAACATACTGATGTTTTTCTGGAGAGATGGCTATAATGCATGTGTGGGGCTTGTTTTCCTTGTATAGGAAATATCAAGGCGCCGATCAGACGCGTTCCTGGTAACTTGCATTTCGTGCTAATACGTCAATAATATCGCCAGCCATTTCTGTCTCATCGAATCGCAAAACTGGATATCCCCTGAAGTCACAGTTCATGTAACAACCGAATGTTGACACAACCAAAGATCGAGGTAGGCCTAATCTTTTTGTATTGAAGAATTTTGTATTAAATTATTTTACACCGGATTCATTGCTGCTGGAGCCTTCAACCTCAATTACACGTCAAGTTCAAGCTTCCAAGGACTGTTATTTCATGGTAGCGTCGTGGACGAAGTTATGAACCCTTGGCGAAATACGTGCATCATACACGATGCATGTGATGCACGGGTGATTAATTTTTCATCGGACAAGAGCGTGGCTTTGAGTTCTCTTATTCAATTTCCGTCGTGTATTTCAGTGTAAAGGCTAAGTCGTGCGAAGGCAGCACGTCAGAACTTTATTGGCAGGGGTAACCCGACTGGAAATTCCCATCGTCGGTTGCTAAATTCCAAAAATTCTACCGTGAACAAATTTATATCCCACAGCCTCGGCTAGCGTTTCTGTAGAATCTTGGACACAGACACAGGTCTCTCCTGTACAAAACGAACCGTTGTTTGATTTGACATTCACATCGATTATTCCTTCTCTTTCAATCTAGAGGTGCGACACACTCCTGACTCTGAATTTGTAACGATTTGATGTAGGCTCATCCATTATGCATTAGGCACTGCCCATCACAACCTACTAGCGCACTCGCCACAGTGCCTTTCAGTGCATACCACACGTGCTCTCTGTTACCAAAGTGATGCCTCTGTTCGTTGCTCCACCCGAACGAACGTCCCACCTGTCTACACACTGAAGGCATTTGCCCTTCTCTAAAACTACAAGTTGCGGGGAAGTTTGACTTAACCCCATCTAGGGTCTCATTAGTTAATTCCCCGTTCTAATAAGTAGACACCTGCCACTCGTTTTAGTATGTACACTTTCCATGTCGCTCTAACGAAACCTTTACAAAAATGCGCTGTCATTAAGGTTTGAACTTTGAAGTTTATAATCAACAGCTAATGTCTTTTATTCCTCTTTCCTGCGGCTTCAGCTATACATCCTTCTTAAACGTAACTCGTATTTTAAATTAACCAAATTTAATCTATAAAGGTGACCTACGCCCTTATAACCAAATGGGAACACAAACAAGCCAAATATGTCAACTCTGCCTTTAATTGCCCAATCGCTTTCTGTAATTAGCCACAGTTATTCCCATACGCAAGGGGATTCAGTTTACACACTTCAGATGAATGAGGTCTGGAGCTCGACAGGGTCACGTCTTTCCTTCGTAGAAAGATACAAGTAACTAATCTTGGGAATGACTTATCAAACAACGTTGATGCTATCAATTTTGAATTCGCACAAGAAACTATCTTGAGCCCAGTTCATTTTCTGTATCAATGATATCATGTCTGTGACTTAGTCTACTAAAACTGTGGTTAATGATGATGGTAATGCTATTTTCATTAAAGTAAAAGTGTTCGTCAGATTAACTTACCTCAATTCTAAACAATATTTTGGCTCATATGGCACATTGACTCAATGACAATAGTAATTTGTAGAAATATATTGAATACGACAAATAGTAGTATATTGAATAGTATAAATCAAAACGCATGTTGATTGGCTCAAACCCAAAACTTGTTTGGGAATTTTTCTACTACATGGATCACCCAGGATAAAAGTGAAATACATTTTTATTTAATGTCTGGAATTGGAAATCGTACTCGAAATGCCTGCAGAATCAGTCTCAAATGGATATCGCTGAAATCGCTGCTCTGTAGTCTAAATAACATGACCAAATTCCTATCTAAGACCTGAGCAGCCTGAGAAAGGCATGCGCGTCAAGGGACGATCGCCGGACATAAAAGCCACTGGCGATGCCCTTAATTATTTTTTATTATTATATATTTATTATTTTCACCACATCGTGTATATTCATATGTATTGATGTATTTAAAACAAAATATGGGTAAAGATCCCCCAAAGCAGAGCTTGTCAAGCAGGGATCTTCTAACATAAATTAAGTAGCATAGAATATTAAGCTACGTTATACATGTTGATTCACATTAATACAAGCAAATTATCATTACTGAGTTATGGAGAAATTTGCAACCCCATTATCCAAGGTCTGTGACCAACACCGGCGACATTTCCTCCACAGAGGTTTTGCATGGCAGCCATCTTTCCGGTAACTGCTTTTGTTGCGGAGGGCTATTACAAAGGGCCTATTCGTGTGTATCCCTGAGGAATATAAGCTCTTTACCAGAAAAATGGCTGCCATGCAGAACTCCCGTACTCCTGTCACAAAGTCAGTAGCGGAATGACATTGTGGGAAATTCGAGTTTAATGAGTCCATATTGTCTGATATTTGGAGAAAAGGTAACTAAATGGGGGGAAATTTATGTTTATGTTAGCGGCGCTCCTACATTGAATGGACAATGGAGGTGCCGCGCAAAAGACATTGAATTCAAATTCTACCCTTTATTGTAAAGAATGAAAAGTCTCACAATGTATCTTATTGCTTCAACCTTCTGCATTCAGCTAGATGACTGCTTTCAACTAAATGAAACGGCGTCGACTACAAACATGAAGTCTATTACTGGTTATATATGAACAGTAGCAACTCAGAAATGAATGGAATTCGAAGAAATAGTGACACAACGTCAATTAGACGTAGAATTAGTTACACAAAGTCGTGCAACTTTAGAGCTGCTGCGCGCATGTTTGTTTGAGGGGACATGTCAGAATGTGGGTTATTGTAGTAAATGTATTTTTATCAATTTGTATGTATGTTCTTTGTCTTGGATAACTTCATCTATGACTTTGTGTTTTCTAGTTTGCTTTATTCTTGTACATTTTAAAGTGAATTTTTAAATCTATTTCGATGTTCTTAGACTGTAACACTTTCTTGTTTTAATGATGTAAGTTTCAAGTGAAAAATAAATTGTAATTTGATCTGATGACCACGATGATTTTTATTGTAAACTTCAATTCAGGAAGCAGTAGAGAATAACTGACTTCAGCACTGAGTGTTGTAGTTGAGTTTATCAATTTTAGTCTGATTCCTACTTATTTCAATCGAGTCACACAAATTATATAGGTGCACAAAATTTACGGTATCGCTGCCATGTGTTCTGAAGTTAGAACAATACCCATTTGTTTAGCTATTCTGACTCGTTTGTGTGAATTAAAATATCGCATTGGAATCCATTGCTTTGTTGATCGCTACGTACACGAAATAACTCCTAAGTGGTCGGCTCAGAGTATGACTGGACTCTAGTCAACCGTCCTTTAGGCTAGTGGTGGCAATGGTAAGATTCTTGAAAGTAACTTGCAACGACCAGTGAGTGATTTGATCTATATTTCCTTGCTGGATGTGTATTACACAGGAGCCTGATGGTATTTACCAATTCCCAGGAATCTCCTACATTCAGCGAAGTACTTGAAATACCTCTTTATGAAGGTGAATTAATCGAGGATAAAACTGCAAGAAATCCACGCAGTAAGCCTCGACTCTAACACGACTCGGAACACGTAACTATGTTGGTGTTGGTACATGAACATCGGGTAAACAGTATTGAGTCAACAAACTCAAATGCGTTCGATCTTATCGGTATACGGTGGATATGGGCCCCAGACGACTCGCTCGTACAATGGAGTACTTGGGCGTCTTTGAACACAAGAGATTTACCCAGGCCGTGCCCAAACGAAATCGAATATGGCTTCGACTTGGCTTGTACCATCAGGCATGTACCACATTTAACAGCTCTCGCGTTAGATCTAGACACGTACACCAATACCTCTTTCAGTCACCGCCATAACTGCAGCTGTATTTTTGCTAAGTTGTCACGCAATACGCGACACATTGCACGCTCGTAAATTGATGGAAATGATAGTATATTAGTACCGTACATTCACACACCACAGCTAAATTTGTTTGCTCAACACGTCACTTTATGTGGCGACATGCCAGGACCCATGGTTAATCTTTAGCATCATATAAAATTTAGTATGATGCACGCCGTTTTGTACAACTGTCACCAGCACTAGACATGTGCCATACAGAAATGTCAGAGTTGCTTATAAAAAGTATTTCTCGACACGGGAAAGGTGTACGGCTAAGTTATTTTAATTGCGACGATTACAATTGAAATGACGCAGTGTTTTGACCGGCCAGAGCGGCCAGTTAAATTTTGGCCAGTCTGGCGTGGTGTCAAAGAAATTCATATTCTTGCTTTTGTTCAATTAAAAAACTGTAGAATTAGTCTCCAAATTTAACCACGGTTACGTTATCCTTACAACAGAAGACAGTTAACTGGTGTTTTCCCTCCCAAGACTGTGGCCCCGCCCACCTCATAACAGCGGTACAGTTTTATTCCCCTTTGTTTTTCTTTTCCGAAAGATATTTTAGGATACTGAAAATAGGAAACGGGTAAACTCTGTTCTGTTAAAAAAGAATCAAACGTAAACATGACTTTTGCACGAACAGACATATCCATAAGCATTATGGTGCAAATCACTTGAGATAATTAAACTGAAATAAAGTTCAGCATTATTATTCTGATTTTCATAAGGGCATATCCACGTCAGTGTGCTTTCAATAACAAGTCTCAAGTGTGTAGAGGACGCTCTCCTAAAACACCAGGTTCCGCAAGTTGGGTCATAGTCGAGCGTCAGCTAATTTACTAGCCGAGATATGATTTTTCATATAAAAAATAACAAGAGGTATAAAGAGTCTCATACTCACGTTCAATAACTGAGAAGTTATCACTGTGTGCGAAGACCGAAATCAATACAGAAAAGCCTAGACGTTCGGGCATCAAATGGATTGTTTGTTATCAATTCGCGAGCCACGACGCATGACGTGCATGGAAGAGCGTGGATAGGAAGCAGTGAAACAGTCCTAATCACCTGGCTGGATCTCGCCTCCAATCGAGCGAAACTGTCAGTGTGAAAACCGTACACAATCCTCGGCGTCGCGGCTGACAGAAATAAAATCGCTGGTTAGGGGCAACGCGTCGACGGTAGTTCAAGTTGTGGCGGAATCCGCGGACTTGTCGCCCGCTCTCAGAGAATTCATGAATCTATAAAAAACGATTTTGACAATCATTTTCGAGGAGTCTTCTTCAATAGGTGTCATTCATTTTCAAGGTGTTGCACGGTCCAGCCTTCTGATATGAATCGACCATAGAGTCTTGTAGCTGTCATGAGACAAGAAAAAGATCCAAAAATATAGCGCAGGCCTCTCGAAGTTACCACAATGCTTGTCAATGTACACTACGCAGCTCAAAACATTACCAACCATGGAGCAGGTGAGGCTGTTTCCGAATTGCTTGATTACGACCTGAAATAACGCACGAGTTTATGATTGTGGCTGCAGTCAGTTCCCACAGTGTCGTGTGTAACGCTCAGACTAAGCCAAGTAATTCAGACGCGGCTTAAGCTTCACCCTTGCTTCCTTCTTTCTCCCACTAGCTCTCGTATAGTGTGCGAGAAAACACACACTCACTCGAAAACTGTGGATATATATGTCCAACCGCGGATCGGTGTTTCAAGCAAGCGTTGGCGTCACTGCAAGCGCTTCGTTCAAGTCAAGCATTATCCATCACGTGGCAGAATCACAGTTGGTCCAGGTACCGACCAATGAGTGAGGGGAATCTGTCGTCGCGAGCCAAAAGTGACAAAAACAAAAAACCTGTAAGTGCATGTACCTGCTCCGCTTTATGGTTTAATTTTAGTTAATGACTCGATCTGAGAATAGCCTCGTCCAAATATCTCGTATAGGCCGATAGGTAACTGTAAAGACAGGACGGTTATAGCCCGCTCGAGTGCGCGGTTAGTTGAGTGAAGGTAATAGCGTTTCCCGTTGCACTTGGTCACAATCGTTGTTGAACCGAGGCGAGAAACAATTACCTGCTTGGCTGCTTGCGTAAAGGTTAAACTACTGCTTCTTGAAGTAAAGCAAAGCTTTTTAGGAGACACTTTGAAGAGTGCATTTCTTACACAGCAGGATGATTGCACAGAAACACTGAATACAAGACCCAACGCACTGAATCAGAGCTGTTGAGGCACACGTCCCTTGAAGTTGAGTGGGAAGGATAAAAGTCGTCTATAGATGGAGAAAGAAAACACGACTCCGTGGCTTCATGACCATATTTCCTCAAATTAGCAAATTTATGTTTAGTTCATTGAGAAAACAAACACAAGCCTCGTTGGAGATTTTGTGTAAGTTATACTATTTGGGGGAACGCAATTCACAATTCCTATTGTGAATGATGTGGATACAAGTCAACTCTCTTTACAGAATCGCAAAGTGCATCATCCAACAGAATTACTCAATGACGGGCAAGAGATTTCCGTCTGCGACCGGAAACCAATTTCATCGCGCGCAAAAAGACGACTGTGTTCGGGCGATAATGACAGGCTGGAACAGAATTCATCCTCGTTTAGTCTCCGCAACGCCCCTTTGGGAGATTATCCACATAAGACAGAAAAAAAGAGCGCATGCTTTGGTCCTGTACTGAATTATTACAAATGACAGAGACAACGTCGTTTAAATGAAGAGGCGCATCATTCTGTGCAGTCCAGCATACGCTGTCTGCTGCGTATAGAGGACTTTAATTGGTTTTACGATGGATGATTCGATTACTGACTCTGTAGTTTTCATCGTATACTGGGAGCCACTCCCAAGGGGGGCACCAGTGGCGCTTTGTCTAATTTGAATTTTTTTACGACAAACAGTCACCTCATATGCGCAGGGCACTTTGTTGGACAAAAGCACCTGATATTGCGAAGCTTCGAAGCGATGACGTCGTGGAATGCGGTACACGAAACTACAGCACACTGCATGGTTGGGTTGAATGATTGCGGTGGATCGGCCGGCTCAGAACTTCGGTAGCTACCAGATGCAATTATGGCGGAGGTGTATACCGAGTTGATTTTGATCACATTTCATCC